CAAATTTTTATGTTATAAATTATTTAATATTTAAATTAAACAAAACATTAAAAAAATTACTATTAATTTTTTATAGAAATAGTTAATAGTTTACAACTGATTGTAGTTCACTTATAAACTTTATGAAATACAACTATTAAAAAATTATTTCAATTTTAATTTATTATAACTCTGCTAATTTTTAATTTTATAATAAGTTATAAACTATAACTTATAACTATAACGTAGTATTACTGTTTTATTTTACAAATATTTCATCAATCAACTATACCAAAAAAATATTTATTGTGAGGGCCAAGTGTACGGCTACGATGCCGTATACTAATATTAGCGTAGTGGGATTTTGGTAGCCGTCGGATTGGTTTCAATCCGGACCACTCGCTCCTGTATATAAACTAGAGTTTTTGGGTTAATTAATATGCACATTTCTATATTCCCTTTCCATATTCCATGCACTCACATTGGTGGAGGTGAGAGGCACCTTTGATTATCCCTGGGGAGTGCTTGGATTTGGGATTTCAGTTTAGATCTAGTTTTTCCCATTTCCTTTCTTTTGTTCTTTCCTTTCAGGATTTTGGTTTAAATCTAACTTTTTGCATTGTCTAGATCTACCATTTCTTTCCAGCCTTTTGTCATTTCTCTTCTTTTGCTCTTTCTTTTTCATTCATCTTCATGGCCGATCCGCAATCTCCTCCTTTGACTCTAGAGCAGCAGTTGGTTCAATTGCTTGATGTTATGCGCTTGCAATTGAACAACCAAACTCAGTTGATGGCGGCGTTCATGGCACATGGTACAACTCCTCCTGCTTTTGGTGCCAATCCTCGCGTTCGGCCGGAGTTCTTTCGTGGGAATCCTGGGGATGATGTGTACCATTGGTTTGATCACTTCACGGTGATTGCCACATATCATTCTTGGGATGATGCTCGACGTTTGCGTGAGTTCCCCATATGTCTCCAAGGGACGGCTTTGCAGTGGTACAATGGATTGAGCGCAGCCACTCGTGGCGATTGGAGTGTTCTTCCGGATGTCTTCAAACGCACCTTCGGCCACGTCGATGATTGTGATGATGCCTTCCAACAATTGCATTGTCTTCGCCAAGGGCCATCTGAGTCGGTGATGCAATTTAGCATTCGTTTCCGAAGACTTTTGCTTCGTGCGGAGCCAAATATGTCGGAGCGGATCAAGCTAGGAATGTTGTGGCTAACACTTCGTCAAGATCTTGTCGGACTTGTGCATGCACTTGCTCCTGCCACTCTTGACGATGCTCTTCGCTTGGCACAATGTTATGAGACGTCGCCTCTTCCACTTCTTGCTACACGTCCTTCAGCTCCACTTCCTATGAGTGATGGTCCTGTTCCCATGGAAGTTGATGCTGCTGCTACTCGAGTCCAAGGACAAGGGCAAGGACGTGGTCGTGGCCGTGATATTCGTTGCTGGGCGTGTGATGAAGTTGGTCATACTTATCGGCGTTATCGGCGCTTTCCGGATTGGCGACCTCCATTTCTTGGGTGGAGACCTTGGCGTTAGCAACGTCCCATTGGTGCTGCTGCGGTGGAAGGTTTGGATACCGAGGTGCATTCGGGAAACGAGGAGTTGCGCGAGTAATGGAGGGACCTTGCACGAATAAATTAGTGACCCCTCCATCTTTCTTTCGGGAGTATCATCAAGGGGTTCACTCAGCACCGGTTCATCCAGTGTTTACTTTCCAAGCTCGTTTTTATAACAAGAGGTCTCCTATTCTTCTCTCCGTGTTGGTTGATACAGGTTTGAGTTTATCTTCTATTGCTCGACTTGTTGCCACACGTTGTCATCTACACTTGCGTCATGCGGCGGATCCAGTTTTCATTCTTTATGGCAACGGCCGTACACATGCATGTGCACGAGATGAGGCGGACCTGGTTGTGCGTGTGGGCGATCTCGAGCTTGAGTTGCAGTCGTTGCGGGTGGTGCCGAGTCAAGCTTTTGACCTCATTCTTGGTATGGATTGGTTGCAGCGCAATCATGCCAAGTGTGACTTTGAGGCTTCTCCCCCTTGTCTTATACTTCTTTATGTTTCATCCATTCCTCTCACCTCTTCGTCCCTTTACTTCTACCTTTGCTTCCATTACTTTTGTTCCCCCACTGTTTCCTCTTGTGTTTCCATCTTGTTCTACTCTTCCCTTTTCTGATCCCTCTGATGATCTTTGTGTTGCAGCTGTTGACCAGCTCATGAAGGAGTATTCTGATCTCTTTGAATTTGACCTATCGTCTGGGGCCAAGACTGCCACACGTCATCCCATTCCAACCGGGGATGCTCGTCCAATCAAGGTTCCTGTTCGTCGTCGGTCACCCAAGGAGATCAAGATTTTACGTGCAAACGTCAAGGAGATGTTGGAGAAGGGTGTTATTTGGAAGTCGTGGAGTCCTTGGGCATGTGAACCTCATCTTGTGACGAAGCCTGATGGGAGTATTCGTTTCTGCATTGACTATCGTCCGTTAAATGAAGTGATGATCCCGAACGTGTACCCTCTTCCTCACACTGCTGATCTCTTGGATCGTTTGGGGCGAAGTCGTTGGTTCACCAAGCTAGATCTTGCTTCTGGGTATTGGCAAGTACCGATGGCCGAAGACGATATTCCTAAGACTGCTTTTCGTACACCATTTGGTTTGTACGAGTTTTTGGTGATGCCGTTTGGTTTAAACAATGCTCCAGCAACTTTTCAACGGATGATGGACGAGGTTCTTTGCGATATGCCGGAGGTGACGTCTGACTTCATTGATGATGTTTTGATCCACTCGGAGGGGACATGGGAGGAGCACGTTCGTGATGTTTGTAAAGTGTTGGATCGGCTACGCGACGTTAGTTTAAAGCTGAAGCGGTCAAAGTGCGTGTTTGGGTCCAAGGACACAACTTATCTTGGGTACCGTATTTTTCGTGAGGGTTTGCAAGTTGATCCTGACAAACTTGTGGCTGTTCTAAAGTTCCCTAGTCCGAAGTGTGTGAATGATGTGCAGCGCTTTTTGGGTAAGGTGCAGTATCTTGGTCGTTTTGTGGATCATCTTTCCGATCGCACTACACCATTGCGAGCGTTGCTGAAGTCATCAACGTCATCTTTCATCTGGTCCAGAGCGGATTCTTTCGGATAATGGTCCCGCATTTATGGCTGAGGTATTTCATGTTTTGACATCTCAGTTGGGGATACGCCACACTTTTACGAGTGTTTATCATCCACAATCAGACGGTTTGGTGGAACGGCTCGTTTGGACATTCAAAGGGATGATTGCGAAGTATGTGAGCTTTCAGCATTCGGATTGGGATAGTTATTTGCCGTCTCTTTGGTATGCCTATGTCACAGGGGTGCAGTTCTGTTGGTGCTTCACCATATAAACTTCTATATGGTCATGATCCAATATTACCAACAGAGCTGGGTTTACCTTTGCGATTGCCACGAGCTCCTGATACTAGGTCATGGGATCAATATTTGACAAGCATTCTTCCACTTGTCCGAGCAGAGTTTGCTGAACACTTAGGCCGCGTACAAGTGGGACAACAACGGCGCTACAATTCCCATCATCGTCCACCTGCGGAGTACAAAGTGGATGATTTGGTGTTAGTTCGTTTTCCCCATCTTGCGGTACGTGGTTTATCTAAGGGGCTCCTTGCGCAGTGGAAAGGACCGTATCGGGTGTTACGGCAAGTTGGACCACAAGTTTATGAGGTTCGGCATGACGTTCAGCAGGCCGATCCTCTGGAGATTGTGCATGTGCAGCGGTTAAAACGCTTCATACAAAGGGATCAAGAGTAGGTAATACCGTCTACAGATCCACCAATGCCTCCTCCTGACGTTCCTCCAGATCCCGGCCCATCTACAAGAGAACCCTGACGGCCTTCCATTATTCCGAGAGGAGGGGATGATGTGAGGGCCAAGTGTATGGCTACGATGCCGTATACTAATATTAGCGTAGTGGGATTTTGGTAGCCGTCGGATTGGTTTCAATCCGGACCACTCGCTCCTGTATATAAGCTAGGGTTTTTGGGCTAATTAATATGCACATTTCTATATTCCCTTTTCATATTCCATGCACTCACACTGTTAAATAAAAATGTATTCTTTGATGTTTAACTTGTAAATTAATAGTGAAAACACTAAAACTTTATAGATATATAGATTGGTATAATTGTGTTTATAATATATATATATATATATAAATAAATCAAAATAAAAAGACTCTTTATATATTAAAATTTTAATGATTAGCTTTTAATTTTTAGGAACTACATCTCAGATTTAGTTTCAAAATATTTAACATTTTAAATAATTCTAAATTCAAGACAAGAATTGTTTTAAGAACCATCTTGGTAGTAATAATAAAAATATAAGCTTCATATATATAAATAAAGAGCTTGGCCAAAAAGTCAATGAAGGTAAAAAAAAACACACGTTTAAATAAGATAATTAAATGGATTATAATACTTAGTTTTTGTAAAAAGAGTTTAGTAGTACCAACTCATATTATTATTTATTTAAATAGCATTAATTTGTGAGTCATGTTTTCACAATTATTTGTATTTTTTAAAATAACAATGAGGTAATGAGCTGCAAGGATGGAGTCTCATAAGATGGCATAGATCCCATCTTGGTGTCCAATTGTTGAGGATGTAATAAATAAATCATGAAGAATTAAAGGCATAGCTTGATAAAATCTCAAATAATTTTTACTTAATGCAAAGTTAGGATTCATTTAGCTGTGTTTAGTTGTGTCAATGCAATGCTGGTCTGTTGCAGGGCATTTCTAATTGTAACATTGAGAGGCATGGATGGTATTTTAATGCTTGATAGAAATTGATTTTTATCTGGATTTTACTTCTTTTTTTTTTTTTTAAGTATATGTGGTATCAAATAAATCGTCGATGTGCAGCCATAGAGCTCAAGCAGAACCAACCAGACATAGCACTTCCTTCAATCATTATATTCGTTTACATTGGGAAGAATGCGAATGTTTTTACTTAAGACCTTGTGCTCCGACTGAAGAATCAACAAGGACGATCTGGTAAAAGAAAAAAACAAGCCTGTAACTCATATCCTTTCAAAGAAACTCCATCAACCTTTGGGGACGTGATCGGCTCTAATTGCGATCCTCCTCGAGCTTCAAGGTCTCGTCGGTCGCGTAAACCATGCAAGCCTGGGACAACACAGCCTGGAGTGAAAATTTTGCGAAAGACAGTTAAGAAGCAAACCTTGACATAGTTTGCATTTGGAAGGCTTGTACTGATCTCTTCGACATCGAGATCTTCGAACGGGTTCTTGACGAGCTGGCTTCCAAACACCGTCTCGTCACAATCGACCCATTCGTCCTCGACGTCCGAGATCACATCCGGATCCACTGCCACAGAGAATTTGAATGGATCGAAGCTTTGAAATATTTCGAGATCGACCCTACCATTCTCTTCGCAGGTTTCCTCCAGATCTCTCCTCAGTGCGTCCTTGAGACCTTGATCCAGCGGGCAATCGAGCCTGTGAAAAGAAAAAAAGAAGCACTGATCGAGCGGCTTCTTACCATTTCCGCATCCAGGACTTGGAATTCTTGCGGCGATCTTCATCACCTTGGTCGGAGTCGGAATCTTCGCGGCGATCGATCGAAGAGCTCGCCGGCCTAGCTTCGCTGCTCTCCCGCTCCAGCCATATTCCAAAATATTTAGGGCAGAGACGTAATCTCTCCCGCCCATTTGTAAGGACTTTCAATCGAAGCCGTCCATTTGATTTTCACTTAAGAAGCATCTTGATAGATTCTCTTTTATTTTAAATTGCGTGGCTATGGCCGCTGGATGGAACAAGCTAGACGGTGCCAAGGCGCTCGTCGATAGCGGCATAGACAGGGTCCCAGATTTCTATGTCAAGCCCCTCGATCAGAGGCTCTCTCCTCAAGATCTGGCGCTCCACGCCGACGAAATCCCGGTGATCGATGTCTCCCCGCTGCTGGATTCCAAGCCTACTTCATCCGATCGCAGCAAGGAGGACGTAATCGCCGAGCTGCTGGATGCGAGCGAGAGATGGGGCTTCTTCCAGGTAAGAAACTGTGCCGCGTATGGAATCGTCTCAAGGAACTGGATCTAGGTTATCAATCACGGCATCGGCAGTGATCTCACGCGGCGGATGCTCGCCGTGGCTCACGAATTCTTCCAGCTGCCGCTCGCGGAGAAGATGGTCTCCTATAGTACGGACATAGACGCCGCCGTGAGGTACGGCACGAGCGTCAATCCGCTCAAGGAGGTGTTTCTAGACTGGCAAGACAATCTTTTGCATCGATTTCTACCGGAGCGCCAGGATCAGCCACATCCATGGCCGACCAAACCAAGCTCTTACGAGTAAGTCTAAGTGCTAGACTTGGTTCATCCAATTCTCTTGCCTGGTTTTCTCTAAGTTTTCATGGATCGTCCAGGTTGATTGCTGGGGAATTTGTGGATCAAGCCAAGTTTCTGGCCCGCCATCTCCTGCGAGCATTGTCTGAGGGTCTCGGCTTAGGCCCGGACTATTTGGAGGGGGAGTTTGGTGAGCACAACGTGGCGCTGCGGCTTAATTATTATCCTCCTTGCCCGAGTCCTGAGCTTGCAATTGGACTGCGTAGTCACTCCGATGTTGGTGGTCTCACGATTCTCTTGCAGGACAGTGATATCGTCGGACTCCAAGTGAAGGTCCAGGAGAAGTGGAAGACGGTCAGGTCGGTTCCTGGTGCTCTTGTTATCAACATTGGCGACCAGCTTCAGGCAAGCTAGCAAATAACTTGTAGAATGGTTGATATGTGTGCTTTTCGTCTTTTGGGACAGATTTATAGCAATGGGAAGCTCAAGAGCGTCGAGCACAGAGCGATCGTAAATGCCGATAAAGCTCGGGTATCAGTCGGGCTCTTCTACGATCCAGCTTCCGACGTTAGAGTATCTCCGATTCCCAAGTTTGTAGACACGGAGCATCCAGCAGCCTACAACCCTTGCGTGTTTAGAGACTACCTAAAGAACCTCTACTCCAAGAACTTGGTGGGCAAGGAATTGCTGGAATCCCAAAGGAAATAGCCTTGGAAGTGGATGTTTTCAGGAGTGAGAGTTTGCCAGGTCAAGGTGATTCTCAGCCTGAAAAGATGTTTTAAGGTGGCTACTAGTGACCGAACTCCAATCCATGTAATTGTCATTCTGTTCCTCATGCTTCATGATCTGCTGGAATGTCAACAATGTGCTAATGAGCATCAAAGACTCTTTCAAGTTCATTTAAGGTTATTTGATACTGATAAAAGTAAAGGATGTTAGAAAGCTTCTCTTTCCATTTAAAATTCATGAAAAAAAAAATGTAGTTCAAAGTTGAAATTAAATCTAAGAAATCCATAATATTTCAGTTATGTTTTAATATTGATTACAATGTTTTGATATATTTGGCAATAGGCAAACTTGACCTTCATATGGTATTCAGGTCCTTGGAGAATCCAGGTCTAGAACACTGAAGTGTTATCAAATGAATTTTGGTGTACTTTAAAAGGTATGTCCTAAATTTTTTCTGTAAAAACAAGCTGTAATGAGTATTCACAAAGCATTTTTATATAATTTTTTTTCTTAAGCAAACCCAGTACTGGATATATCTAGAATATGCTTGAATATTTTGTATATACTCTTAAACTATAAAGTGGATATTCTACTATCTAAGACAGTTCTTATTCATTTATATTAATCTTGTATTTATAATTTATAAAATTTCCTAAACACTTTCTAGTATATTCTAGTTTATTCTACCATCTATCTATAAAATATAAATATGTTTCTAATCATAAATTTCTAATTTATCAATTGGTTTAAATAATAAACAGTACTTTTAAGCAAACCAAGTGTTACTGCATTCAATGACAAATTTTTGAAAATAAAATATATCTTATATTATCTTCTTGAAGCCCTTTTTACTTTTTTGAAATTTATGATTCTCATTTTACCACTAATTGTTTTATATCAATATTTGTATATTAAATATAATTATTATCATTGTTCATGTATTAATTATAAAAAATATATACTTTATTTTACTTATACATGAAAAAGAAATCTATATATTTTCTAATATTTATAGTTACTAAAGAGTACACCTAATAATAGTTTTTCTAAATATATTGAGTAACTAAATTTTTAATTTTTAATTATATATATGTAAATAACTCCCTGCCCTTTATTTTGAGATTTTAAAAATTACAACATAACTCTAAGCATATTCTGAGATTATCCATAAACTTAATCTATTTTTGGTTTCTATAAATTTTAATATTTTTAAAAATTATTAAATTTTGTTTTTCTTACACTAATAAAAAGATGTTAGTTTAGTTAAAATTAACACAAAAATAATTACTCATTTTCAATTTTTTGTTTGCTTAAGCAAACCTGTAAAGGATATATCTAGAATAGGCTTGGATATTATAGGATATTCTACCTATTATTCATTTATATTAATCTTGTATTTTATATGTTTAAAATTTCTAAACTTTCCTAAACACTTCCCAGTATATTCTTGTTTATTCTACCATCTATCTAACAGTTGATATATAATAGATTAATCTTGATATATAATTTATAAACATGTTTTATTGGATTATTTCAATATTACTAAACAAGAACGACACTACTATTAAACAAACCAAACATTGTTGCATGCAATGAGCAGTAAATTATTTCTAATTTCAGCATATTTTGAATACTTTTTTCCCCTAAGCTCCCATGCATTTTTTAAGCTCCATTTTTTTTTTCATGGCTGCACTAATTACTTTTTGTGTTATTGTTATTTGCAAGAGTGAGTCTCAAATTGGACCTAGGCAAGAATGCAATAACAGGCAAGAACTTTGAATGTGGTTGCTCTCTTCATCTATAGTGATGAGCATGTTTTTCTGCAACAACTACATCGTGAAATACAAAAGTAGCTCTTTGAAACTTCTATAGTGATACGCAACAAGAGAGCAAGCATTGACTCAGGGTTTAAACCCTTGGTCAATGCTTGCTCTCTCTCGCCATGTACCAGTATAGAAGTTTATCCGCAAGACCAAAATGTCTAGAAAAGGGTTATTTTAATAAACATCTTAAGAGAGAGATTAGAGAAAAAGTACCGATCAGATCAGATGTTGCAGGAAGCTACTTCAGGTGTAATGGAAGCATGGGGAGAGCTTTTAGTAGAGCACAGAGATGACCTCGTCACCTTTTTGATAACGAACCCTTTCTTTATAAAAATATGCATTCCATGCTTTTCCATACCTTTATATCTACCAAGAAGTTGCTTTCAGTAAGAGCTTTGAACAATTTTGTATGTGTCAAAAGGCGGGAGTCAATATTGAGAGAGAGAGAGAGAGAGAGAGAGAGGCATTCCTTCCGGACTCGGGGAAGGTGTCCATCTCGAGGGATGTCATATGACTTTTTTGGTTGGGGGGTCCAACTTTTTGCAAAAGAAACGAGCAATGCTCTGCCCAAATCCTCGCTCCGCCTGCTGCTCTCTCGTGAAATCCATGCAACAAAAGCAAAAGAGATTCTGTCCAAACATGGTGGTTGATGCCTCGCCGCAGGAGAACTTCAATTCCAGCAGCAAACAAGAAAAAATTTACAGCCACTTTTCTTTCTTTTCCCAGTTTTCCTTGTTTGATTTCGTTCTCCTCCCTTAGAGCATAGCAATCCAGCTCCTTTTCTCTCCTCTAGCATAGCAATGCTCGTGTTCCTGGCGATGGCTCTTCTCCTGGTCGCGAGCGTCGATTCGTGGAGGAACGCCTCCATTCCTTCGCAGTGGCAGGGGATGACGCGGAGGAGCAAGATCCACCCGGCGGAGCAGCAGGGCGGCGACGATTTCATCCCGAGAGCAATCGGCGGCGATGGGCTGCTCAAGTTCTTGGTGGTCGACCAAAGCTCCCTCCTATCGTCGCAGACGGCGGGAGTTTTCAGGTCCATCCAAGCAGCAATCGATGCCGTCCCGGTTGGGAACCAGCATTGGGTGATCATCCAAGTTGGAGCTGGAGTTTACCAGTAAGTATCATAGGAGCTTGTCCAAGAAAAACAGAGAAAAAAAAAATCTTTGTTTTATAGGGAGAAGATCACGATTCCATACATGAAGCCTTACATTCTTCTCCAAGGTGCCGGGAGAGATTTCACCACCATCTCCTGGAGCGACTCGGCCAGCACTTTCGGGACTGCCAACAGCGCTACTTTCAGCGCCTTTGCTCCGAATTTCATCGCCAAGTACATCAGCTTCAGGGTAAGCTTTTCCTCGCTTTTCTCAATCTCGCTTTCTTCGATCGATCGAAAGGAGAGCCTCATGTTTCTTCCATAGAATTCATTCTCCTCTTTTGGAAAAGAGGCCTGACTGTTCGCTCGCAGAACAATGCACCACGGCCGCCACCGGGAGCTTTCAATCGCCAAGCGGTGGCTGTTTTGGTCGCCGGCGACATGGCTGCCTTCTACTCGTGTGGCTTCTATGGCGCCCAGGACACGCTCTTCGATTACGAGGGACGTCACTACTTCCGGGACTGCTACATCGAAGGCTCCATTGACTTTATCTTCGGCCATGCGAAGTCCGTCTTCAAGGTAGAATAGAACAATTCTTGCGAGAAACTGGAGAACTGTTAGTCGCCTTTCTCTCTTTTTCTTTGTCTACCTGATCTTTTTCTTTTCTCATGTACAGGCCTGTGAGCTCCACGCCATCGCCGACAGCTTTGGCTCAGTCACCGCTCAGAACAGGGGAGACCCTCGCGAGAACTCTGGCTTCATATTTATTGCCTGCACAGTGACAGGAAGTGGCACCATTTTCTTAGGACGAGCTTGGGGAGCTTACTCTCGAGTCGTCTATCTCTTCACCTACATGGACAGCAACGTTGTCTCCGAGGGGTGGAATGATTGGGGCGTCGCGAGCAGGCAGCAGTAAGTTCTCGCGAGATTTTCTATCTTTTTCTCACTCTTGTCACCTACATCAACGAACAGGACAGTTTATTATGGTCAGTACAAGTGTTTCGGACCGGGAGCTAACGAACTAGGCCGTGTTCGGTGGTCTCACGAGCTCACGGACGAGGAAGCCAGGCCTTTCCTGCAAGTAAACTTCATTGACGGCGTACAATGGTTACGTGAACTATAGCAAACAACGAGGAAGAAAACCTGGCTCGTCTGTACAAAATTTGATTCCCAATTCTTTTGTGCGACACCTTCAGAAAAGGAAAAGGAAGAAACTGTCAAGAACAATAAAAATCTCTGCCAGATCCGTAAATACTTGGGAAGGAAACCAAATTTCGCGGTTTACCGGTGATTTGTTGGTGCTAACTTTGTAACTCGAGAATCACGAAATAAAATCCCCGCATTCGTGTAAAACGCTTGGACGCGAGGTCGCTTATACCAAAGCCCATTGCAGTGCATCGGGGAGAAAACGGCTGTGAGAAGGACAAAGCCCAAAAGCAAAAGAACAAAATGCCAATGGAGCAAAGCAAAGCTATCAAAGGTTTAAAGCGCCTTCATGTGTTCTTGTTCTTCGATCCAGATCCCCGATGAAAATCTTCGTGTTGATCCTCTTCGCCACCTTGCTCTCGCTGCGCCAATCCCACGAGTTAGAAGGCGGTCACAAAGAACACAACGAGCTCATCACCTTTACCCCCGGGCATTTTAAAATTTTATCTTTCCCGCCATTCGCATCGCGTGCCACTGCCCCGGCGGCTGCAAATCCGCGCCCCCAGCGCCAAGATCACGAGCTTCAAGAAAACGAGGAGGAGCTCGCCATCGAGATCCTCCACCGGAGCTCCCGGCGCAATGGCGATCCCCATCATCACGATCCTCTCCACGACATCCACGCCGCAATGGAGCGGGACGAGGCTCGCCTCCGCTGGATCCACCACCGCATCCAGTCGAGCGATCATCGCCACCGCCGCGGACGATCGCTCCTCCAGACCGCCCAGGTCTCCTCGGGATTGAGCCTGGGCAGCGGCGAATACTTCGCGAGGATGGGAATTGGAAGCCCGCAGAGATCCTACTACCTGGAGCTCGACACCGGCAGCGATGTCACCTGGATCCAGTGCGCGCCCTGTTCTTCCTGCTACTCTCAGGTCGATCCAATCTACGATCCCTCCAATTCGTCGAGCTACCGCCGCGTCTACTGCGGCTCGGCGCTGTGCCAGGCGCTGGATTACAGCGCCTGCCAAGGCATGGGATGTAGCTACCGCGTCGTCTATGGCGATAGCTCCGCTAGCAGCGGCGATCTTGGCATAGAATCCTTCTACCTGGGGCCGAATTCCAGCACCGCGATGCGAAATATCGCGTTTGGATGCGGCCATAGCAACTCGGGCCTCTTCCGCGGCGAGGCGGGGCTCCTGGGGATGGGCGGCGGCACGCTCTCCTTCTTCTCCCAGATCGCGGCCTCCATCGGCCCCGCATTCTCCTATTGCCTGGTGGATCGCTACAGCCAGCTCCAATCGCGCTCGTCGCCGCTCATCTTCGGGCGCACCGCCATACCCTTCGCCGCCAGATTCACGCCGCTGCTCAAGAACCCTAGAATCGACACGTTCTACTACGCCATCCTCACTGGGATCAGCGTCGGCGGTACCGCGCTGCCCATACCGCCCGCGCAGTTTGCGCTCACGGGCAACGGCACCGGCGGCGCCATCCTCGACTCGGGCACCTCCGTGACGCGCGTCGTGCCGGCGGCCTACGCCGTGCTGCGCGACGCGTACCGCGCGGCGTCGCGGAACCTACCGCCGGCGCCCGGGGTCTACCTGCTCGACACGTGTTTCAATTTCCAGGGGTTGCCGACGGTCCAGATCCCATCGCTGGTGCTCCACTTCGACAATGACGTGGACATGGTGCTGCCCGGCGGGAATATTCTCATCCCGGTGGATCGCTCCGGGACGTTTTGCCTGGCTTTCGCGCCGTCTTCCATGCCCATCTCGGTCATTGGCAACGTCCAGCAGCAGACCTTTCGAATTGGGTTTGATTTGCAAAGATCTCTCATCGCCATAGCTCCAAGAGAGTGCTAAAGTATTCTTCTCAGATGAGATTCATGATTTGCAAAGATCTCTCATCGCCATAGCTCAAAGAGAGTGCTAAGTATACTTCATGATAAAAACTAGATTCTTCGATAGCTTTTGATTTGATCGAGCTCTCGAAATTCCGAGGCTTGCTTTGTTTGCTCGCTCAGCTTCCAAGGAAGCTTTTTAATCTGTGCTTCACAAACAATAAAACTTTGAGACGAAAAGAATGGCTCTATAGTACACTATAATCTCGCTCGCCTTTTCTTTCGTATCTCGCCTGTATTGCTTCTTTTGGAGTGTAAAACCTGTCCTTACTGTGGGGCTCTCGAGGAGAGAGCTCGATCACGTCGAAGGAAGCCATTGCGTGCCATCGACAAAGCTGAGCGAAAGAAATGGAGTTACCTCCATGTCTGAGAGCTCGCGAGCCCACGGCACTCTCAGCGAAGAAGTGGCTCCGGGACCATAGCATTTGTATTGTCCAAACGAGACAGTTCTACAGAAGAGGAAGTTAAGATTTTTACAAAAAAGAAGAGAAAGATCCTCTTTTTACCTGTCTCTGGATGCGTCGTGATCCCAATCGTCCCAGCCACGTACATCGATTATATTGTCGAAGTAGCTGTTCGAGTAGACAATGCGGGAGTACGGTCCCATTGCTCGTCCGAGATACAAAATCCCGGTTCCGGTAACTTTGCAGTTGACGAACGAGAATCCTGTGTTTTCCGTTTGGCTCTGCCGATCTTGTGCTGCTACGGAGCCGTAAGAATCCGCTATGGAGTGAAGCTCGCATTGCTGCAGCACTCCCGGCATTAAAAAACACGGAAAGGAAGGCGGAAAGTTTTGATGCTCACCTCGTAGAGCGAGCGGCCATTGCCAAAGATGAAATCGATGGAGCCTTGGATGAAGCAACCTTTGAAGTAGTGGCGTCCGACATCGTCGCAGAGCGTGTCCTGCGCGCCGTAAAAGCCACAGTTGTAGAATGCAGCCATGTCGCCAGAGATCCGGAAAGCCGCTGCTTGACGTCCATTGACACCGGGTGGTGGTGGAGGTGCAGTGTTCTATCACAAGAACAAAAAAAAAACCATTTTTGTGTGAGCCAAGAGCTTATAAATCGATTGACAGATAGAAACCACGCAAAGGTCACGCACACGCAAACACGCACACACAATTCACGCACAAAGAAAAGGAGACAAAAAAGAGTGGAAGTACCTGAAAACTGATGTCTCTGGCTATGAAATTCGCCCCTACGATCGTCACTGACGCGGTTCTATAGGCCGTAAGCGGCTGTCCATCGGGGCCGAGGTCGCTGGCGGTGGAATTCCAGACGATGAGGCTACGATCAATCCCAGCGCCCTGGAAAGTTAAGAACGGCTTCGTAGCTGGAACCACCACTTTCTCCCTGGAACCGAAAAAACAAACCCACAGACAATGAGACGCCTGGAAGAAGCAAAGGGGAAGAAACAAAGGCAAGAAAATGATAAGAAAGAATGTCTCATCAGATCATCACGAGAAGAGCGCCATGGCTGGAAGAGAGAAAGAAAAGAAAATTCTCTTCTCTACTGGCCATACTGACCGCCCTATCTGACTGACGGTCACGGAGATGCGGAGATTCGCGCGAATAAACCGGCAGCGCGAAGATGCCGCCCAAGATTCGCCGTTTGAAGATCCTTGCGACGATGGTGATCGATCGTTTTGCCCGCAATTGGAGCTGCGGGAAGCGGCCGATCGCGGTGCATTGCGCGTGACATCGACGCAAGGGATCGTTGGCGCTTGGATTTTGCGGCGGGGTGTGCTTTGCATCGATGCCAAAATTTCTTCCCCGTTTCATGGAAATATTCTACGCTGCCGTGCGAAATCTGGGACCCGTGAGCGCCAAGAATCGGCAAGAATGGATCGCTGGCGGGAATTATCGGCCAAGATTGTCACTGGGATCGCGAGAAGTCGTTGAGATTGATCGATCGAGGCAAGAAGAGGAAATTCCCAAGAACAGAGCAATCGAGGAGGAAGAAAGAAAGAGAGCGAGAGCCAGGGAGGAGAGAATGCTGATCCTTACCAGTAGATTCCCGGACCAATTCGTATCGTCACTCTCTGATCGTTCCCGTCCGGGATCGCGTTCACTGCGTCCTGGACAGTCACGAAATCGCCATTCCCGCTCTGATCCACGACGAGAATCCGCGCGGCCAGATGCCCCTCGGTGCTGAAGGATTGGAGGAGATTTCTCGTCGCCGCGGCGCCGCGAGGATGCGAAAGGATTAAGGTTGACAAGACGAGAATGGAGATGCGTCGCGAGCCGCGAGAGAGGAGGAACAAGGCGGCGAGGAAGGAGGAGGCATCCCTGGCAGCCATGGCCGGAGCTATGGGCCGGAGCTATCGGCTAGGTGGGAAAGAATTTTGGGAGAGGAGGGAAAGAAAGAATGGAAAAATGCCGCGCTTGTTATAGCCGGTTAGGTTTAAACCCATTGTTTATAGGCCTAAAAGGTTGACAGAAAACGTACGAGTTTGTATTTTTCCCATGAATTTTTTTCTTCCACTAATACGCCAACTTTGACTAATTATTTTCAAAATCATACCTGTTTGTATCGATCAGAAAGAAAAGTTTCTCTTATCTGATATGGAGAAACCATGTCGTTCTATTGGAATTGTGTGGATTGAGAACGACCCAAAGGCAAAGCTAGAAAAGCTTCACCAGGACTTTCCTTAAGTACGATGATTCAAAGATTCTCGTCTCGGGCTTCTAGTGAGTGTTTGTTCGAACTTAAAAGGCGGTGGAAAGCCAAAAAAGGAGAGAGCGAGAGGGGAATATACGGCGGCACGAAAACAACGCTACTACACATTGAAAACTCCCCAAAAAAACTCACCGAAGAAAGAGGGAGGGAAAAGAGCGATGTAAGTAATGTGGATTGCTACGCCACCTCCCTTGAAGCTCAAAACGTGAGGATTTTAATAGATCTCGGCGTCACGGGAGGGCCATGCGAGCAAAAGCTCTTTCCTTTTTTATTTTCCACCCATCTTGACAAGTTGATCGAGCGAGAGAGACAGCCTGTGTTTGCTGCAAACGAAAGAGAGCTTTGCTTGATGGATCTTTCCGAAAGTTTTTCTCTCTCTTTTTTTTTTGCTCTCTCTTTCTCTTCTTGCTTACCTGATGAAATGGAGGCATAGAAAATGGCTGGGCACGCGAAATTATTGTACCTGATTGCTTGCAAAGATCAGGAGTTTAATGCTCGGAAAAAGAAAAGAATACCTCAAGAAAAGGAGCCTTCGCTATCAACACAGATTGTGCTGTGCTCCCTTGGCAGCAGCAACTGGTTGAGTGCTGCGTTCCCTCACAAATGCCATGCAGAAGAAGCTGAAAACAATAACTATAATGAACAGAGACATCAGAATCAAATATGTAGCAGCAAGCAAAACCAAAAAAAAAAACAAAAACGAAAACGAAAAAAATAAAATAAACAAACTCAAAGAACGAAGTAAAAAAAGGAAGGAAAGAAGAACGAACCACGAACCGCTCGTCAAAGCTTGGTTGTTGGATCCATAAATGTTCACTGCTTTCACGGAATGTCGTCCATGGACCATTAACTCTGAGTGGTTGCACCGCGTAACTCGCTTACTGTCCACCGGTCTATGTACTTTGTAGTCGCTCTTCTTTGGATCCCACAGGCACCGCTGCCGAAGAAGGCATCGCCCGGACGAAATAAATGCCCGCCCGTCTGGAGAAGACGACGTCTCTCACAAAGTTTCACTGGAATTTCTATTCCATCGACATCGAAGCAAATCTCCGCCGTGCAGACGGATTTGTATCTCTCACTGCTGACTGCAACCAAGATAAGCAAGCTTCTAGCACGAGATTTAAAGACTTCGCTTGCTGGCAAACTTTCACGGTACCTGGATCAACCAAGTTGCAAGTAATCTGATTTTCCAGCTCGAAAAATGCACGGAGCCCTGTGGATTGGAATCGGATATGAATAGGATACTTACGAGAGTTCGCTGTGGATGCAGAAAGAGTAAATCAGCCGAACAGATTGGAAGATACTACAGGCCCAGGCATTAGAAAAGTAAGAAAATGTCGCAAACTATGACAAGCAATCGTGCGCAAAGCAGCAAATGCTTTTCCTTCAACTATAAATTATATACACGTCCAGCTCTGTCTACAAAGACAACTGAAGTGAGACTTTGCTACGAGATTAAAATTCAAAATACCGTACCTCTCTAAGTTGGGAGCCACTGAGAGCCATCAATGAAGCTTGGATCTAGAAAAGGTTGTGCCTGTCCCGGTGTGAGCTCGTGAGACCACGCTACACGTCCTGCATGATTCGCTCCTGGTCCCGAGCACTTGTACTGCCCAAAAAACACAGTGCTGAGGGGCAAGCAATTTATCAGAATCGAGAAAACTGGAGAGGAACAACTTACTGCTCTTTATTGGGGTCTCCCCAGTTGTCCCAACCCTCCGGGACAACTATGTTATCCATGTACGTAAATGCATAAACAACCCGAGAGAAGTCACCCCAAGCTCGTCCTAGAAAGATTGTTCCAGAACCGGTGACCCTGCAGTTCACAAAAGAAAAACCAGTTCGTTCGCTTTGGTTGGTTCGCTTTTGGGCTGCTAATGCACCAATTCCACCACAATTCTCAGCAGCAGCGTGTAGATGAGATTTCTGAAAAAAGCGGGTTGAGAAAATTGCTCGAGAACAACAGTAACACTTACGTAGTAATATGAATGGCCATCTCCGAATATGAAATCTATAGATCCCTCAATGTAGCACTCTCTGAAGTAGTGACGGCCACTGTGATCGTATAGAGTGTCTTGGGATCCCAAGAAATGACAACCATAAAAAGCAGCTGTGTCACCAGAAATTCTAAGAGCAACAGCTTGTTTCCCGGGTGCTCCAGGAAAAAACACAGCAGAATTCTGCAAAATCCGAAGCCATGAAAGATCGAGCCATGAACACGACGATTACCTTAAACGTAATGTTCTTAGCAATGAAAAACGACGCGTAAATCCCAACTGTTGCACTCTCAAAGGTTCCCAACGGCTGTCCGCCAGGACCAGGACTGCTTGCTGTATCATTCCAGTCGATGATGGTAAGCCACGCTCCACAGCCCTGAAGTGTAATGTAAGGCTTCGTTATTGGAACCGTAACTTTTTCTCTGGATACAAATGAAATTGAGAATCGAAAGCAACAACTGAAAGAAATATCACCTGTAGTAGCCGGGATTGATTTGGATGACAATGCGCTCGCCATTGTAGTCAGGTATAGAGTTCAAAGCCGCTTGAACCGTCGTGTAGTCACCCTCCCCAATTGTCTTGCTCACCACAATCGTCCTCGCAACTTTGATCCTGTTCCCAGCTGTCTTTCCGAACATGGAATGCTTGAGGGAACCAATCCAGTTCACCCAGCTGACAAAATCCTTTTCCATTCTCTGCAATGCAGGGCTCGAATCAGTCGCAAGGACTTGAGCTTCACTAGGAACGAGAAACGAGCCAAGCAACAGGACAACTAAAACATTAAACTTTGCAGACATTGTTCTCTCACTCGTTCACAGGCAAAAGAAGCACGAGGTGGCAAAACTAGACGACATATCTCCGATGTAACTAGCAAACTGGAGATATAAGAGGACATGACTGCAAGCACCAGAACACTTGAAGATGATCTAGCAACTTAACAACGCAAGACGTGAAAGAGACAGACAAGCATGCTAATCTGGTCTCCACTACTAGGAAGCTCGATTAAACAATACAAGCAAATCATAGAGGAACTCACGAGCGTGGCCTGATGATGCACTGAAAATCACCGTACATAGCTTCTTCTGATGATTCTTCCTGCATTCATCCATAGCTTTCGTCACAAACAACCAAAAAAGAGAATTGCCAAAACCTTCGGCATCTTCTGTAAAGCTCCAGCCCTCTTTCTTTGCCTGACAGTGTCGGCACCACTCCTCGCGTCACGATCCAACGATCTGTGACCGAAGAAAAAGCAAGAAATTCCCCTAGATCAAACCTGCGGCAATCGATCGCTCCTGACAACCATTCACTTTCACTGCGCAGCGCACATCGCCGCATTTCCCTTTCAATCGAACAAGCACTGGCGCCTTCGATCGCTCCTCGTGCATTGCTCCTCCCACTAGCCCTAGCCTATCCTAGAGGACAAGATATCATCCGAGAGAGAGAGAGAGAGAGAGAGAGAGAGAGAGAGAGAGAGGGAGATTAGATGATGATCGTCATTATATATGACCGGCTCTATGTTCTTCAGCCGGTTATTCCCTGTCTGTACAAGCGAAAAGAATTCTCATCCTAGAAACCATGGAAACGAAAGAAAGAGAGAAAGAAAAAATTTCTCCTGACCACTATGAACACCGTAGTAGCTCCTCGCTCGTTTTATTTCCACCACCACCACCACCACCACCACCAATCGATCCCTTTCATCAGCTCGATTCGATCGCCCTGTTCTTCCTGCTACCGCTCAAGCCGCTCGTCAAACCATAGTAGCTCTCGTACCACTTGACGAACTTCTTGAGCCCCGTGTAGAGATCCGTGCTGGGATTGTAGCGCAGCTCGTTCCTCGCCAGAGTCACATTCGCGTGAGTGAATGGAACGTCCCCGTTTCTCGGCATCTTGACGAAGTTCTTCTTCGCTTTCACCTTGAGATGCTTCTCCAGGATGCTAACCAGCTCGGGGACCGTCACCGGGGACGTGTTGCCCAAGTTGTAGACTCGGAGCTGAGCCGGGCCTCGTTTCTTCCCGCCTGTTCCAGTGCTGAGAAGCGCCGTGTCCAGAGCACCCAAGCACCCCTTGACAATGTCGTCGATGTACGTGAAGTCGCGGGCGAGGTCGGTTTGATCCGGTCCTTGGTAGATGTTGATCGGCTTTCCCTGTAAGATGTCCTTGGTGAAGGAGAAGTAAGCCATGTCCGGGCGTCCGTAAGGTCCATAAACCGTGAAGAACCTCAAACCGGTGATGGAGAGCCCGTATATGTGGTTGTAGCTGTGAGCGATGGCTTCGCCAGCTTTCTTCGTCGCGGCGTACAAGCTCGCCGGCTGGTCGGTCCTGTCCACCTCGGAGAACGGAACCTTGGAGTTGAGCCCATAGACGGAGCTCGACGAGGCCCAGACGATCGAAGGCTGTGGATTGGCCGACTTGCAAGCTTCAAACAGTGTCACCAGTCCAGCGATATTGGAGTTGACATACGAGGCCGGGTTTTGCATGGCGTATCTGACACCCGCCTGCGCCGCCAGGTGCATGACATGAGTGAACGGAACCATGCTGAAGAGCTTGGCGAGGAGCTCCGAGTTGTTCACGTCCCCGTCGACGATGAAGACCGACTGCTTCTCCAGAAGTTCCTGCCTTGCTCGCTTGAGTGAAGGGTCGTAGTAGCTGTTGAAGTTGTCCAGTCCGACCACACCGTCACCCCGTTTCTTGAGAGCCAGCGATACGTGAGTGCCGACGAAGCCAGCAGCGCCTGTGACTAAAACTACCATCCCGTTTTCTCTCTTGGTCCGAGCAGAGTGTCTGACTTGCTTCTCCCATTTCGATCCCCCCCAAGCTAAGGCCCTGTTCCCAAAGTGCCTGGATTCCAATCCTGTTTGGACTGCCGGTGGAGCCGATATGTGGAAGAACGCGTAGAACATAAGCGCTACCGAAACAAACATCCAGAAGAAATACCTCCCCGACCCGGAAGAATGCCATCTGTTGGAAACTCGTCCAAAGTAGTTGTTTCTCTCCATCTTCACCTTGCCTGGCGTCGAGGGAAAAACATCTTGCATCGCTGACGGTGGCATCTCGGAGTCTCTTTGAAAAGAATTCTTCCGCGTCTCGTCAGTGAGAAGAGCGCGGCAGCTCGATTGTTTCGCAAGCTGCGTTGGAACGAGTAACACATGGTTAGACAAATACGAGAAAACGAATTCAATAGACAGAGCCTACATTTGAGGAGAAGTCCGCGACAAGCAAAGTTTAGACAATTCTAGGATGCTCGCAGCATTCATCGCCCAAGATGCCGGAGGAGCTTACAATCCACTCTATGCAAAGCTAAAAAAAGAAGAGCAAATAGGAAAGCAAGCCCTCAACCCTTTAATTCCCCGAAATAATCTTCCAGCCAGCAAATTTCTGCTCTACTCACGAATCACACCAGCATTTCCTTCCGGCTGAGAGGAATCCAGCGCTCCCGAAGAACATCTGCTTCCTCCAGCCGGAATCAAGCCCGAAATCCACGACTCCACACAAGAATCCGCAAGATAGCAGGAAGAGAGATAGAATCACTGACCCTGAGACGGCAAATCCGGGCGCTGCGCCAAGCGAGTCCGCATTGCCGCGCGCGCGGTCGAGAATTTTGGCGCAAGCGGTATTTCTTGAAGCCGCACACGTGAATCTCCGGTGGCGATGGCGGCGTGCAATGCTATCCCTTTATGCCGTAGAATATTCGTCCTTTCTCGCGGCCGTCGATATGTTAGGGATCGAACGGCCTCCAGCGCACACGCCAGCTGGCGTGAGTGTAGCCGTCGGTGGCAAACACCGTTGATAAGGACGGTTGGATAAAGCAGACCGTTATCACAGTGATAAACAAACAGAGCGAGCCACCTTTTAATTTCGTTTTTGTGAATGGATATGGCCTATCAAATGCATCCAACAAGACGACATTTTCTTGGTAGCATCAATTTTCTGGAGATTGTCACTGAAGTGTACTGCCATAGAGAGATCTTCCTTTTACATTACATTTTATTCAAAGTTAAGTTTTTTTAATGATATTTTACCTTTATACTACTAGGTGTAATAATATTAATGTCTAAATGTGGTCAACGAGCTCATCATACCTGTTTAAATATATATTTGGGCTAAAATTGAATACTTAGAATGGTAATTAATCTTAAAGTTGCTAGGATTTAGGGCTTTTAGGGCTTTGTGATCAACAATAACGAAATTTAAGAATCTTCAAGGTAAATAGATGTTCTCTATATTATGGTGCACTATACAATATAGCTCACACCAAACTTGGGATATTTATGGTGAAAGCTTGTAATTGATATTTTATAAATTAAAATTTTTACATTTTGAAGCTTCTGTCAATTTTAAGGTCTTATAAAATATTTCCAAGATGTGTAGACAATAAAAAATGTCACTTTTAAGTAGCCTTACTAATATAAAAATGGAGTCTAGACTTATTCTTCAATCAAAATTCTTGTACTAATAAAACATTTATGCCATAGTGGCTATTTCTTTAATTTACTAAGGCAAATTTGAATTTAAAATGAAGCTAAAAATAAAAAATTAAATTCTCTCTCTTCTCTCTCTCTCTTTATATATAGTGAATATAGAAATGGTTTACAACATTGTGCATATTCAATTAGCTCAAAACCCTAAATGATATAAAAGAGTAAATGGTTCATATTGATGAAATCAATTTAATAGCTACCAAATCCCACTACACTAATATTAATATTTAATATCATAGTTGTACAGTTAGACTGCATATAATCCTCTAGGGGGTTACTATGTCTTACAAAAATGGACATATATAATTTCAGTTTTAAGGGTAAGAATATACCATACTCAAAAGTATATTATATTTTAAATAACTATTAATTAATAGAAATTGAACCCATTTCATTTGCTCTAATACCATATGTAACACTTTTGATCTTTTTTGCCTTAACTTAACTAAAAAAAAAGGCAATTGTTTGATAAAAGAGCTTTTAATAGCTATTTTATTCCTATTTATCCCCTAAAATTTTAATGACAGTATATCTAAATCTTATCATATGATTACTATGCTATAAGTAAACTCCACTCAAATCTATGGAAAAATGCACATCAAATATTAATATTAGGACCTAGCATCAATAACTCATAGGAATCATAAATGTAAACTTAACTTAGTTGGCAATATTGGATTATAATTATATAAGAGTTTATATAGTGAAGCACTAACAAAACTTTATACCCTAATGATATATGTATACCAAAGAGATAGCATCTTAATCCAAATACTGAAAGTTCACATATTTAACAATTATCCATTTGAAAGTCTGAATGAACTATTTCATTAAACCATCTATTTGTGGATGATAAACACTCATAAATCCTTAACTAAGACATTAAGACATGAAGTACCTCAACTATAAATACAGAACTATCATCTGAGAGAATCCACTTTATATAAGATTGATGGAATACCATTTAATTGAGGAAGAAGTATTTAATAGTAGTCACAGATGCACTAGCAAAAGTATTAACTTCCACCCAACAAGTTAAATTATCAAAAATAATAATAATGTATCATTGCTAGCAGTCAGCTATGAAAAAAAACCCATTAAGTCAAATGTTATTAACTCAAATTGATAGGAAATTGTAATTGATTCCAACAATCCTTTTATAACATAAGGGGGAGTATAACAAGTTTGGCATTAAATTTAACTATGCACATACTAAATAATATTGCATTATATCTCTAACTAATAAAAAGACTTATGCAACTTCTCAAGCATCCTATATGCCCGTTTAGAATAGGGGAGTCATGGTAGGTATAAAGAAAGTATAAAATAAAGATTGAAAGCACTATTAGTTATAAATGATCATCAAAATCAATCTCTATAAAATAAAAAAAATCATTCTCAAAGCGATATTGAAAATATAAATGCAGAAACGAGAAGTTATTAGCAAGTGATACAAGATTTTTAAACCCATAATGAAGCCTTCAAACACAGAGCTCAAATTTTTGATCTTCATAAACTTCGTCAAGAGAAGGTCAATTTTAGTCCATATCTTGTGGATACTAAATATTAAGTACAACTATCAATAGCAAAAAAACTTTATTCATTGATGCTAGAATAATATGTTTGTTAAGAATAAAAGAATAGAGTGAAAAAAGGAAAAGGAGCTCAAAAAAGAGCATCAACATTAACTATAAAACTCCTTAAGCCATTGAAAAAACCTTAAAATCACACATTTGAAACTTTGTAGCCTACTAAGCAGTATAACCAACCAAATTCTTTCACTTCAATAATGAAATAATTGCAATATGATAACTTACTAGTAATATCCAAGTGCTATGCAAATATGCATGAAGTTTTTCAAAGCCCCAAACTATTACTAAATACTCTTTCTTTATTGTGAAGTAATTCACCTATAACGTTTGTGATCATAAAATGAGATTTGGATATATTATCACTATAGATCCTTATAACTTTGGGGGATAAATGAGGATAAAATAACCACTAAAGGCTCTCTTATTAAACAATTACCCCTTTTTTAGTTAGCTTAAGGGGAGAGAAATAGAGTCTGTTACATGTGATATCAGAGCAAATGGCATGGGTTCAATTCCCATTGATTAATGGCTACTTAAAATACAATATACCTTTGAGCAAAGTATATTCCTACCCCTATCCACTATGAAACTGCATTACAGATGGATGACTAAATTCAATGCAGACATAAAGGTGAAAGAGATAGAGTTCACTAGGCACACTCGTGCTCTCTTGCATCAACACACCCTCGAGACTGATTTTAAAAGCATCCACATACAAAATGAAAAGTCAAGTGTAGTTAAAATACACTAAAACTAAAGGAATCTATAAGCAAGTAAATTTTTCATTTTATTTTAATCACTTAACCACACTTTCGACCATTTAGAAGAGTTTCCCTCATAATCTCTATATATCCTCATCTCAACTTAGGGTACTTATTAGCCTTTAGAAGTGATCTCAAAGCTATGTTGTTTGGTTCAAGTGCTTCACGTGCTTAATCCCACTTTAAACATCTAAAGGTATAACTGAAGTACTAACCTCTTACACTAAGGCCATATTCATTTTTATTGTTTCATTAGTAGTTGAAAACCACTTCTTATCTCTCCAAAATTGGGCTATCTGTCCATGAGTGATTATTCTATAACCACACTATAACATCCTTAAGATGCTGAAACACCATCCCCCACTATACCTTTTTCGATTCTCACCAAATCCCTTTCCATCCACAATAGTGCTTACCAATACTGTTACTAGGTCAAAGCTTGAAAGCCCATCTTAATAACCTTTGGGACTTCCCACTATGTATGATTAGTAAATAAGAAGACCATTTTTCTTCCTTTTCACAAGAAAAAACTTTAAGATGACATTTTGAAACACCATAACCTAACATAAGCTTGTGGGTATTTTCCCCACATTCTACCATTAGGGTGTCTTAGCTGTGAGACACAAAATCCCTAGGCCCCAAAGTGGAGCCGGAAGGGCGCCACGTGGTAGTGGCCGAAGCGAGAGCCAAACGAGCGTAACACGTTTGGACCAAAAGCTCCGACTTGAAAAATCAAGAGCGGGAGTGGAACTCCCAACGAAGTGCTCGAGGAATGAGCACGAAGCGAGCCATAGGCGAGGCTCCAAAAAGGGACCCAAAAAGGACCAACACATGACACGTGGAAGTGTTCGAGATGGACCCAAGATGGAGTCCGAGGTGGAGTCCGAGGTGGAGTCCGAGATGGACCCGAGATGGACCCGAGATGGACCCGAGATGGAGTCCGAGATGGAGTCCGAGATGGAGTCCGAGGTGGAGTCCGAGGTGGACCCGAGATGGACCTGAAATGGAGTCCGAGATGGACCTGAGATGGAGTCCAAGGTGGAGTCCGAGGTGGAGTCCGAGGTGGACCCGAGATGGACCCGAAATGGAGTCCGAGATGGAGTCCGAGATGGACCCGAGATGGACACGAGATGGAGTCCGAGATGGAGTCCGAGATGGACCCGAGATGGAGTCCGAAGTCGAGACCGAGACCGGGACCGAGACCGAGACCGAGACCGAGACCGAGATCGGGACCAAGACCGAGACCGAGGCCGAGCCCGAGCTCAAGTTCGAGTCCGAGTCCGAGTCCGAGTCCGAGTCTGAGTTCGAGTCTGAGAGGGTGAAAGCCCAAAGCGTTCGTGTCCCAGACCCTAGGGGGTTTGGTGAGCTCCAAAAGTATAGTAGGGGGAGGACTGCAGTGGAGCCAGTTTGGCCAGGAAAGGCCAGTTTGGCCCAGGAAGGCCGGACCCAGTGTTGGATGATGAGCTGCCCACTGGGAAGTCCAAGACTAGAGTGAACACGGACCGACAAATGGGGTAGCTTGGTGAAGTGTTCAAGAGCCAGCTCTAGTTCCCCCGGGAGATCGTTTAGCCGATACTCCCAGTCCAAGTGTGGGTGGCACTACCTACTTGGATACCTGGTGTGGCTCAACGGAACCTCGCTCTAAGCCTATGGCTAGAGCACCCACAGGCGGAAGGCAGGGAGAGTACCCA